CCCTGCGGCTGCCTTCCGCTCACGTCCAAAGCGGTACCTGATAGAGGGAGAGGTAGAGGGCCCAGAGGGCCAGAAAGACCAGGCTGTCCCGCAGAGGCTCCAGGATCAGGGCCCCGAAGGAGAGCAGCGCCCCCAGCAGGCAGAGCAGCTCCATGCCTTGCTCCGTGTCCAGGCCCAGGCGTGGCCCCAGCCACAAGAGGGTGGGCGAATCCCGCAGCTGCTCCCAGAAGCCTTTGCCGGTGAAGCGGAGCATCTTCCGGGCGGGCAGGATGCCGTTCTTCCCGTAGAGACCTGGAGGGAGGAAGAAGGACAGATGGACAGAGGGAAGGACACGTGGTCAAAGGGGTGGCGGGAGCAGCAGCAGCCACTGGCAAGCTTAACTGACAGGCCTGCCCTCCCCCCAAAGACACACCTTTTTTTTAAAAAACACACACAAAAACCTACACACACACAAAAACAACCAAGTCCAAAAGGTTGCTCAAAAAAAAAAATGATCAGTGGGACGATAACCTGGGGAAGGGGACTGGCCCTCTCTTAGAAGGGTTTGGGGGGTCACCCACCAGGTCAAGACCCCAGAGTTTCCGTGGCAAGGGGACCCAGAGGAAAAGCCCCCTCCGGCTGGGGCACAAAACTCTCCCAGCACTTTACGGCAACACGAACCAAACCCCCTTGACCAGGGACCAAGGGCTCCTCGCAACCAGGGGCAGGGAAGCCCGATGACCAGAGCGGCTGGAGTGACCCACCTTCCGTGCCGCCAAGTTGGAACCAACTTATCGCAACCCGAGCAGGGCTTCCAAGACAGATGATGGCCGGGCTGAGCAGATAGAACCCCCTACCCCGCGGCGAGTTTCCACGGCCAAGCCGGCTTTTGAACCCGGGCCTCCGGAGACCTGGTCCGTCCCTCCTCTAGCCGTTACATCACGCACCGGGCGCCCATGACTGTTAACGAGGTGCAGGAGCGGTTCCAGGAATGGTTCGCTAGTATTATTATTATTATTTACTTCCTGTGAAAGTAAGGAGGTGTCCCTGGAGGCCAAGACGAAGTTCATCCACCTTTTGGATCGCCCTCCATCTCTTTCCTGGACACCCTCACGGGGTCGCTTCCTGCTTCAAAGCCTTCCTAAGAAATTCCAGCCTTAAAAAGGAAGCCCCAGGAAGCCTCCGTTTTCGGCTCCCCCTGCTCTGTGGGACAGGCGCGGCACCGGATAATCTCTTAACGTTTCTCAGAGACATTTGCCTTTTGCAAAATGGGGGCCAAAAACCTGAGAAGCCCCCAGGGTTGGTAGAAATGAACACTCAGCTTTGAGGGTGAAAATTCTTGTGAGGTGGGGTGGAGGGACCAGAAAGGACCCCACAGCAACCCAGAGGGGAAGGGGCGCTCTCAAGGGGCAAAGGGTGGCGGTTCATGGTTGGAGGGGGGTGGGAGGGAAGGAACTCAAACAAACAGAAAACCTGGGGAGGCAGCCTGGAAACCACGTTCAGAAACGGGTTAAGCCGACTGGCTCAAAACATGGAAAGAGTCCGATGGCTGTTGTGGGTTTTCCGGGCTCTTTGGCCGTGTTCTGAAGGTTGTTCTTCCTAACGTTTTGCCCGTCTCTGTGGCCATGGGCATCTGCAGAGGACAGGAATCAGAACTCTGTCTGTCTTCAGTTGTTTATGAGATCACCATAATCACCCAATCTCCTGAAAAGGACAAAAACCTGATCCCACAGCTGCAAATACTCAACTATCCCACACACTACACCAGAGCACAGACAGAGTTCTGACTTCTATCCTCTGAAGATGCCAGCCACAGAGATGGGCAAAATTTTAGGAAGAACCACCTTCAGAACACGGCCAAAGAGCCTGAAAAACCCACAACGACCATTAGATCCCAGCTGTGAAAGCCTTTGAGAATACGTGGAAAGAGTCCCTTCCTGCTGCAACATTTTGTTGCAGTTTCCATTCGTTGTTGCATAAACCAGTCAAGTCTGGTGCAAGCAGGAAGGGAGAAGGGCCGTCGGTGTGAGCGAGGCAGAAGACAAAGCCCCAGGAAGAGTCCCTGGGACAGAGAGGGGACCCATTGGCCCGATCCCAATGTTTGTCTTGAAATGTTCTGGTCAAGCTCCAGGAGAAGCTGGCAAGGGGTGTGACTGTCTCAGTGAACTCCGGCATGTGACCCACCATCCCGGTGCCAGCCGCGACCCTCCGGCTGATCTGGGGACCCTGGCTGGGCCGACACTGGGGAGATTGCTGGGGAAGAAAAAACTAGAAAGGATTTTGCAGGATGCAAAGGGAAAACACGAAGCCCGGTTCGTGTTTTTTTTTCCAGGCAGAGCCTGCAGCCAAGGAGATTAAAAAGCTACCCTTGGCGCACTGGGGGGGAGGAGGGAGGAGGAGGAGGGGAGTGCTGGCAGGGAAACAAGCAGCAGGAAGTGAAAGCGGAAGAAAGCGGCCCTGTCTGCCCGGCTCCTGCAAGTCCATCGGGAGGAATCCGAGGGAAACCACCCTGCCTAAAGGGTGGCCGTCCCCCTGCCTGAGAGGCTGCCGTGGGCTGTGTGTGTTTCGGGGTCCCCACGCACACGGGCCTTGTCCCATCATGCACCCAAGTGGCAGGAATGCAGCCATGCTGGTGCCACGTGTATGCCTGCGGGAGGAGGTGGGCCAAAGGAAAGGCAGCCCCACAGGTAGCAGGAGGCCTCCCCCAGGAACAGGGGCCTGGCCTGAGATGGGGGGGGGAGCGTTGCGCTGCGTGGCTTCAGGATTGGCTAAGGAGAAAGGCCACGGTGGGTTTTGGGGGGCCGTGAATCCCCCCAAAAGGAGCGGCTTCCGACACACCTGTCTCTGGTGTGCAGAGAGCTGGGTTAAAGAAAAAACAGCCGTTGCCCTTGCTGGCTGGGGATTCTGGGCACTGTAGTCCAACCCAGGACCATCTCCAGACTCTGGGCTGCTCCATCAGCTACCCATCCTCATCATCACGTTGGACAAGCCAGCTCAGGGGTTTAAGACCTCTGTCTGCAGAGCTGGAGGTTGGGAGTTTGATTCCCCCACTGGGTTTCCTTGACCAGGGCTGGACTGGATGATCTCTAGGGGACCCTTCCAACTCTGCAGGTCTAAGGTTATCCTGATCATCATGACCCTCCAGATGTTTTGGAAATTAACCAGACCAGATCTAATTTGAATCATAATTTAAATCTCTAGGGTTCCTGTGCCAACCCCACCCTCTTCTTGTCCATTCTTGGTTGCTATTTCTCAAAACTCTTGAGATAAAGACTTTATATCATGAAGAGGCCCCTAGTGCCCTATTTCGAAAAACTGCAGTATTTTATTCAGATTAGCATTGCACATCAACAGGAAAAGATTGGTTATTTTTGATACCAGTAACTTCAGTCTGGCTTGGAGGATCGGCCTGATCAGGGTTGGGCTCATTTCCGTATACAGGTGCAAACCAGAAAGTTATACCTGGAGAGCTGCAAAGCTTGGGTTTTTTTTAAAAAATTTATTTTAAAAACGGTATCTTCCAGACTTAAAACTGCAGTGAATACTCGGGGACAGAGAAAAGGTAACCTAACTAATCTGCACAGAAACCAACACAACTACACATCAAATTATGGGCCCAATCCAAGAAATATTGGACCCCATTCAGTAAACATTTTTTAAAAGCTTACATGAATTCATTGCCTCCTCCTATAGGCATTTAATAATCTCAGTTCCATAACGAGACTGTTGGGTTCTGGCACACTGCAAATTAAAAACGTTACCGTGCATTACCAAAGAAACACACACACTTCAGCAATAAAAATGTTCAAAAATCTGGCTGAAATGTTTAGAAACTGATTTAATTTTTTTAAAAACATAATGGATGAAATTCTGTTTCTTAGCATTGCAAGCCACATTAGAGTAGGCCCATTAGTCTTAGCATTGCAAGCCACATTAGAGTAGGCGCACTGATAACTCCTCTGTAAGTTTCACTGATTCAAATGGGCCTACTCTGGTAGCATTGGACTACGCCAAAGTAAAGTGCAACTAGAGTAGGCCCATTGAAATCAACGGAACTTATGAGGGACCTGACTCCCCAAATATACCGACTGCCTGCTGATCCATTTCCGGGCAGAATTAAAAGGGCTGGTTTTGACCTATGAAATGTTTAGTAGCTTGCGTTCCAGCTATCTAAGAGATGCCATATCCCCCCATAAGCTTGCTTGGGTGTTAAGATCATCAACAGAGGCCTTTCTCTCAGTCACAGGTGCATCTGGAAAGGGCCTTCTCTGTGGCTGCTCCCAGCCTCTGGAACTCTCTCCCACTAGAGGCCAGCCTGGCCCCATATTGGCTCTCCTTCTGCAAGCAGGCAAATAGACTTTTCTCTTCAGGCAAGCTTTTCTTTCAATGACTGGCTGCCTGAGAAGGTGTTGTGTTTTTTTTAATCAATTGTTCTACTCAGTTGTTTTAAAATGTGTTTTTACTATTTGTTTTATTTATCATTTTATACAGAATACCTGTTTCATTCCTTCTTAATATTTATATACTTACTGTTTTTCGCTTTTAAATATTGTCTCTTTAATTATGTAAGCTGCCTTGTGTCATTTTAAGGAGAAAGGCATAGTAAAAATATTGTAAATAAATAAAATAAACATCTGAAGGACATGGAGGTGGGGAAATCTCTTCTCCCTCAACAAACCACATCCAGCTCTCTAACTGGGATGCTTCAAGCCAGGTAAACACATTTTAAAAAGCCTGCCCCTCCCTCCAAGAGCATCTCTGGCTATAAAAGAAGGCCAAAACACACCAATATGGCCCAGGTGCGAATTCTAAACCCAGGATTGGGGCACACCTTAACTGGACCATGAGCACATACATCATGCTAGGATGGTCCAAAGACTTTTCTGATTCTATTCCTCCTCCATCACCACCACCACCACCTAAGGGCCCTTTTAAGGAGAAAGGTGGAGTGAATATCCATTAAATAAATGAATAAATTTTCAAACTCTGCAAGGCCCAGCCTGATGAGCATCTAGGCTTATATTTATGTATTTGTTTTCTGATACAGTATTTATATAAAGCTTGGCTTAGTGTTCAGCACTACTCTTAAGTACTTTACAGCAAACAATAACCTATTAAACCTCCCCCCCCCCAAAGACCAATATTGACAACAGGATGTGTGGCCTGAATCCTGAGACCAGCCCAACTAGAGTAACCCCGCCTGATGAGCATCTAGGCTTATATTTATGTATTTGTTTTCTGATACAGTATTTATATAAAGCTTGGCTTAGTGTTCAGCACTACTCTTAAGTACTTTACAGCAAACAATAACCTATTAAACCTCCCCCCCCCCAAAGACCAATATTGACAACAGGATGTGTGGCCTGAATCCTGAGACCAGCCCAACTAGAGTAACCCCACTGTGTCTAGTACTTTACAGCAAACAATAACCTATTAACCCCCCCACACACACAAAGACCAACATTAATACAGGATGCGTGGCCTGAATCCTGAGACCAGCCCAACTTGAGTAACCCCACTGTGTCTGTACGTCACTGTGTCTGTGGGATTTACATAATGCCGAATCATCATCATATAGCAACACATTTAATAGGTCTGGACAACCAGTTGGATTAAGGCCAATCAAATAATTTGCCAGAAATATATTATTTGTAAAAGAAATTAATTTGTGGAAAGAGTGAATTGTTCCCGTCACTGCCTTGTGATGTGGGTTGAGGTTTTTTTATTTTTAACTGTTGCTAATTAATCCTTAGTGTCCTGTCAGAAGAAGCATCAAAGCACCGAAGAAGAGGGCTGCCGTGCAGAAAACCTCACAGGAAAATCAATTTACGAGCCTGATGTGATTCTTTTTTTTTTTTTGCATTTATTCCCCGTGCTGTATGGGGGGAACCCATCATTTCCTACTGGCATTACTGCATCTCTCTCATCGCTATCCTGAAGGGCTGCATTTTGACTTTTTAAAACAAACCATGTACAAACACCTTTGTGCCTGAATAAATAAAACGGGAATTCATGGTTTTCCCACAGAGACTCATAAACGTTCACCAACTTTCACCGAAACTGCCAGCAGAGAATCAAGTCACATGTGGTCACCAATGGGGGGGGGAGCTGGCCACAGAGAACCCCCCCCACTTCCACTGTTCCTAACTTTGGCCAGGGATGCTGCGGATTCTCTTTGGTGCCACGTGGGTCACTTTTGAGCAGCTGCTGGCATCACCATAAACAGGGTCCCTGTGATGGTATGAACCAAAGGTGCCAAGGCCTCAGGAGTTAAAGCATCTGGCGGGCAAAGGTGCCAAGGCCTCAGGAGTTAAAGCGTCTGGCAGCAGAGCCGGAAGTTGGGAGTTTGATTCCCCCACTGGGCCTCCTTGGCGGGGGAATGGACTTGATGGTGCCCTCACTCTGAAAAGTTTGGAGACCCCTGATCTAGAGGGCCTCTTTCAGATTTGCTGTTCTATTATAATTATTCTTTAAAGTTTCTAAGGGGCCTGCAGATTCTACTCCTGGAAATTCGGATCCTGACGGCCGCGCTCTCACGTGGCTGGCAAAGCAGCTGGTGGCGCCCCCACAAATTCTGGAAGAGCTCAACGTCTGGGCCAGCGCCCAGGGAGCCGCATGCCAACATAGCCAAGGGTGCCAGGCTTGGCTGATTTTACACAATGGGGGCTGAGTAGCACACTATTGCCCCGAATGTCCACCGGTTTGACTGGGGCACCTGAAAGCTCACCTGAGCTTGGATATGTTACGCTTTTATGGACCACAAGCCCCAGAATGCCCCAACCAGAAACACCAACACAGAATTTTAAATAAAAAATCCCACATCCATAAACAGAAGCTATCTTGGCTATTCGTGCCAGACCACGGCAGGATTCTCACTGTGGTGAAGTGGATAGAGTGACGCTCTTATGATTCTGGAGAACTGGGTTCGAATCCC